GTAAGACAGAGCTGTTCCACCAGGCCTTTGGTTGAGACGGTGGGCATCCAAATCTCACTTCCCTCCCTTGCTCAAGTGTACCATCTTTATGTGGCCCAGAGCAAGTAGAAGGAAATAGCACCAGCTTGAACTTTATGATTATTCATAGTGTGACCTGTTTTTAACTTTATGCTGTTTTAATCTGTTTCAATCAATATGTAAATTATTTGATATGTATTAGATTTTTATGATGTATTATGATCCGCCCTGAGCCTGCTTGCAGGGAGGGTGGAGTAAAAATTGAATAGATAAAAATAAATTAAAAATATTGTCTGCACATCTTCTCTGTTGTATGGATGTGAAATAAACCTGTACAATACCAAAAAATGCATATTCTCAATTGTTTCCCCCCCATAAAGTGTATTTAACTAATGGTGCATTTTTTATCTTATTTCTAATCTGAGATTTGTGCTCAATAATGTGTGTGCGTATACAACGTATGCTGTATCCAATATATAATAATTTACATGGACATATTATAATGTACACAACTTTAGAAGAGTTATAACTGGGAAAGTGAGGTAAGTCTACCTTATAATTTCTTGGCGGATTGGAAAATGGCTTCATCTCATGAGCCAAGGAGCACAGAGAACATCTTCTGCATTTAAAGTGTCCACAAGCCCTTGTTTCTGTCCTTGCGCTAGTTGATAATGTCAGATCTAATAATGTATGATATGTCAGATCTAATACTCTTTGATGTTTTTAAACCTATAAGCGGCAATTTGTTACAACCTAGAATTTCTGCAATCACATTCCAATGATTATAAATTGTATTTTTAATTACATTAGCCAGGGGTGTCCATGCAACGAAGACTCCAGCAGAGATACCTCTGAGACTTTCAAAATCCCCTGAAATATTCCATAATCCAAAGCATGGACCGCAAGAGAGAGAACTCTGGGACCCTGTGACACATATCAAGCAGGGGTTTCTGAGGCCCACTTTTGGAACCAATCAGCCAGATAGGATCAGAACCACCAGGGGATGCTTCCCCCAATTCCCATCTTGCCTACTTGGCACAGAAGGATACCACCATCTATGGTATTGATGGAGAGTCAGCAGGGACGCTCTCCACCCCATCTTCCTTTCCCAGAGCAGGTCTCCACTCACAGCCACTGAAGCAGTTGCAACTCCAGTTTGGTGTAGTGGTTAAGTGCGCGGACTCTAATCCAGGAGAACCGGGTTTGATTTCCCACTCCTCCACTCGCACCTGGCTGGATGACCTTGGGCAAGTTGTGGTTCTTATAAGAGCTGTTCTTGAAAAAGAGCAGAGCTCTCTCAGCCCCACCGACCTCACAGGGTGTCTGTTGTGGGATGGGGGAGGGAAAGGAGTTTGTAAGCCACTCTGAGACACCTTTGGGTAATGAAGGGCGGGGTATAAATCCAATCTCTTCTTCTTCTTCTAGTGTGGGGTGTGTGTTGTGGGACAGCGGACACACATGGCTATTATGTGATGTAACAAGAGATCCCCTGCCTAGATCCACACCAGGGTGACATCCAGACTGGACTACTGTAATGCCCTGTATATTGGTCTCCCCTCAAAAGGAAGACGGAGACTGCTGCTGGCACAGACCACCACAGTGCAGCTATTAATGGGAAGTAAACGGAGGACACATATTCTGCCCCTTGTGCTGTCACTCCATTAGTTACTCATCAGTTCCTAGGTGCATTTTAAGGTATTGGCTATCACATTCAAAGCCTTTGGTGGCCTTGTTTGGTGTAGCGGTTAAGTGTGTGGACTCTAATTTGGGAGAACCGGGTTTGATTCCCCCACTCCTCCACTTGCACCTGGCTGGATGACCTTGGGCAAGCCGTAGTTCTGATAAGAGCTGTTCTTGAAAAAAGAGCAGTTTCTTTCAGGAGCTCTCTCAGCCCCACCGACCTCACAGGGTGTCTGCGGTGGGGAGGGGAAGGGAAAGGAGTCTGTAAGCCGCTCTGAGACTCCTTTGGGTAGTGAAGGGCAGGGTATAAATGCAATCTCTTCTTCTGCTTCTTCTAATCTGGGAGAACCGGGGTTGATTCCCCACTCCTCCACTTGCACCTGGCTGGATGACCTTGGGCAAGCCGTAGTTCTGATAAGAGCTGTTCTTGAAAAAAGAGCAGTTTCTTTCAGGAGCTCTCTCAGCCCCACCGACCTCACAGGGTGTCTGCGGTGGGGAGGGGAAGGGAAAGGAGTCTGTAAGCCGCTCTGAGACTCCTTTGGGTAGTGAAGGGCAGGGTATAAATCCAATCTCTTCTTCTTCTTCCAAACACATGCCCATAACAGGGATAGGAAAAGAACCCACATAGGGATTGATGCTGCTTCTCTCTTTATTAGATTTTTTTCTCCTATAAATGGGAGGTTTCCACACCTCTCCTATACAAAAGACCTAAGAGGCCTTCTTAAAATAACCAAAAAAAGCTGGTATTTTGGCACACGACCAATCTGAGAACCACTATTTGCCAGGGCTCCCTAAAGGGGTGAGTGGGGCCCCTCCTTGGAGGAATCTTCTGGAGGCACTGAGGCCTACTTGTTTCCTGGGGCTTTTGAATGGCAGCCATCTTTTAAAGGGGCAAGGGGAGAGAGATGTGGAGTTCATTTTTCATTTCAGCTGAAAATGTGTTTAAGTATTAATGTAAGCTGGCATGAACCACAAGGAAAACAGGACATAAATGCTTTTAATAAATCGCATATTCATATAGCGAAGGTGGCCAAATCTGAGGAAGTCCGCTTCCTCGGCGGGAGTAAATCTCCCTGGTGCCCTTCGTATTATGCAGAGTCCAGTCATCCTGCGCCGGCATCCTCCGTGGGCCCCATTGCGAAGGGGTTGGAGGCGGCCAGGACAAATACGCAGGCAACCGGGGAATCGTTCCCCCCACCGCTCCCGACGTCGGCACCGTAGTCGTGGTGATCAACGGGGTGGAGGTCGTTGGGACCGATCCCGTGTCCCCCTCCAGTGTAGGCAGTTTTCCCTCTGTCCCGCTCATGACTTCGTCAGACTCGGGACGATAGGAAAATAATGGGATTCCTAACAATATGTTGGATCCCCAAGCATCAAGAATAAATCCACGTTTCAGAAAAGCAAAATTTATTTCAAAGCTTTGGAAAGATACTCAAACAAGTTCTTTGTTAGGAATGGGTACAAACTGCTAGGGCAAGCATAATAAAGGGATTTGAACCAGGCACATAACCAATGGGTCACTTTCCCGCTGGCGGGTGAAAGGAAACGGTTGCGCGCTCACTCCCTGGGAACACTGCTATCTCCAGACATAATACAGGTGCAGTTCCCAGAATCTAAAAGCAACAAGCTGGCATTCAAGCTCACTCCTACACCACGTCCTCCAGTTGTTTGGCTTAGGCATTACAGCAGAATAAAATACTGGCTAGCAGGCAGAGGGGGGGAGGAAGAAACTATACAGACATACAAGTAACACAGAACCCCATGGCAGCTTGCTGACATAGTGATGACTGGAACTATGAAGGGGAAGAGAGATCTTTCTACAAACCGAAAAATCCCCCAGGGTCGCAGAAAAATGTGAAATATATATTTCATACTGGCTTTCTATGAGTGAAAGGCAAGGGGGAGAGGACAGGGTCCCTTTCAGGGGTGTTTTGGGCCTTTAACAGAGGTCTCATGAGGATCAGGCCTTTCTAGCTTTGCAAGTTAAAGGTAAAGGTAAAGGTTCCCTTGCCCGAAAGCCAGTCGAATCTGACTCTAGGGTTGCGGAGCTCATCTCCGTTTCAAAGCCGAAGAGCCAGCGCTGTCCAAAGACGTTTCTGTGGTCATGTGGCCGGCATGACTAAACACCAAGGCGCACGGAACGCTGTGACCTTCCCACCGAAGTGGTCCCTATTTATCTACTTGCAATGTCTTGCTTTCGACCTGCTAGGTTGGCAGGAGCTGGAACTAGAGACGGGAGCTCACTCCATCTTGCGGCACACTCGGGTCTCGAATTGCTGAACTACTGCACAGCCTGGAGCTCAGCGTCTTAACCTGGAGATTTGGGGTTGAGCCTTGGAGAGGGCATGGCTTGGGGGGGGGGGGAGAAGAAGCATCTGCCAGATATGATTTATTTATCTTGCTTATATTTTTCCTTTCTCATTTTGACTCAAGGCAGGTTACACACAGTGAATCAATACAACTGACAAGATGGAGGATTCAATAAACAACACAATAGGATTAGGTTTTTAAGACCCAATCAGAAATGTAAACAGGACTAAAGCAAAAGCATGAGTCTTAACATGACACATTAAATGATTCAAAAATTACACAGTAGGATCCTAGTGTCAGTAAGCTGGACACAGTGGCATAGACCACCGCAGTCCCTAATAGTTTATTTATGTCACTTTGTGAATCATCCACAGGCAGGCCATTTCTTAAGGCGGGGGCCACAAAAGAGAGGAGGCACGGGTATGGGCAGTTGTTGATTTTGCCCATTTGCAGGTTGGCACCTGCAGAAGACCTCACTCAGATTAGAGTCCACAGCTGATAGCCTTTATACCACACTTTCTGAGCCTTTTTGAACCTTCACCACCTGAGCATTTGAAGATCTTCATCAGAACCAGCTAAACAAGTTCACCCCAATGAATTCTCTGAGGAACATGAAAGTTGGATCTGTGCCTCAGGCTCTTACTGAGCATCGATGAGGCTCCTCCACTGGGTGGACTCCTCAATGCTAAGGAGATATCAGCTGATTGTCTGGCAGAGCCCACCCCCATCCTTGTTTTCTTCCCTGTGTGATCCATCTGAAGCTTCAAAAGTGGCTAAAGCTCTTTCCACAGTCCTAACATTTACAACATTTCTTCCCAATTAGGGTAAGGTTGCTGTGTAGATTTGAGCTCTTTACAATACTTTATATATTTTCAACATTTTGTATAGTCTATGGTCCTCTTTTAGGTGACAAATAGGAGAAAAGCTCTTCTCATGAGCTAAGCACTTACATGGGTTCTTAGATGTTTTTGAAAACTGTTATTCCAACTGAATTTCTTTCCACACTCTGAGCATTCAAAAGGTTTTTCTCCTGTGTGGGTTCTCTGGTGCTGTTGAAGTTGATCTCTCCAGGTGAAGCTCATTCCACACTCTGAGCATTCAAAAGGCTTCTCCCCCGTGTGGGTTCTTTCATGCAACTGAAGAGTGCCACTTCCGCTGAACCTCTTTCCACAATCAGAGCATTCAAAAGGTTTCTCCCCTGTGTGGGTTCTTTGATGGTACTGAAGACTGCCACCATGACTGAATCTCTTTCCACAGTCTAGGCATTCAAAAGGTTTCTCCCCTGTGTGGGTTCTTTCATGCTGGTGAAGATGGTTAACCTTTCTGAATGTCTTTCCACACACTAAGCATTCAAAAGGTTTCTCCCCTGTGTGGGTTCTGTGATGCAGCTGAAGATGCCTAGCCTTACTGAATCTCTTTCCACACAGTGAGCATTCACAAGGGTTCTCTCGTGTGTGAGTTCTTAGATGCTGCTGAAGAGTGCTGCTCTGAGTGAACTTTTTTCCACACTCTGAACACTCAAAAGGTTTCTCTTCTGTGTGGGTTCTTTGATGCTCTTGAAGAGAGCAACTCCGACTGAATCTCTTTCCACACTCTGAGCATTCAAAAGGTTTCTCCCCTGTGTGGATTCTTTGGTGAACCTGAAGGTGGCCACTATGACTGAATCTCTTTCCACACTCTGAGCATTCAAAAGGTTTCTTCCCCGTGTGGGTTCTTTGATGATAACGAAAACTACCAGTATGTCTGAATTTCTTTCCACACACTGAGCACTCAAACGGTTTTTCTCCTGTGTGGGTTCTTAGATGCTCTTGAAGAGAGCCACTCCGACTGAATTTCTTTCCACACACTGTGCAATCAAAAGGTTTCTCCCCTGTGTGGGTTAACTGATGCCATTTAAGAGTGCCACTCTGACTGAATCTCTTTCCACACACTGAACATTCAAACGCTTTCTCCCCCATGTGGGTACTTTGATGCTCTTGAAGAGTACCACTCTGACTCAACCTCTTTCCACTCTCTGCACATTCAGAAAATTTCTCCCCTCTGTGGATTCTTTGGTGCACAAGGAACTGTGGTCTGTATTTTAAGTCCTTTCCACACCAAAAATATTTATAGGCCGTTATTATGCTGTGCTTTGGTAAATGTATATTACCCTTTCTTCCATCAGAGGATGCCATTCCACCCTCTGAGGAGACAAATGGTTTCTCTCCTGAATGAACAGATTTCTCTGAGAAGCTCACCCAAGGTGAACTGCTATCAGGTTTCTCTCTTGTATGTGTTCTTAGATGTCTAACCTGTTCTGCTCTACAAAGGAAGCTCTTCCCACACTCCAGGCATTGATGGGTCTTCTTTCCACTGTGCATTCGTAAATGGATATTATATTGGGTTTGATCTGAGAAGTTCATTCCACACTCCGAGCACTTGTATGTTTCCTCCACCATGTGAATTAAATCATGGAAATCCCCCCCTTGGAAAGGAATGGTTTTATCCCTCTTCTCGATCACGTGGCTTCCTTTTTGCCTCTTCGGTCTGCCTTGATCCCCCAAGTTTCCTCTCAACTCTTCATTCTTGACTCCATCTGGCAATAGGTGATGAAGTTACCCATCTTCCTCGTTCCTCTGATCATTCCCTGTCGGAATAAAGAGAGATCCTGTTAGAACCCACACAAGGAGGTCTCATCTGCAGTTGAATTTACATCTACTCTCTAAATATATTAGTGGCTTTTTCCTGCTGGAATAAAGAAAGAGCAATACAAGAAGCCAAACCACCAATCAGGCCCTGGACATTAATGGGTGTGCAATTCCTTTATCAGAACTTCTTTCCAACCAAACTGAGCAGCTGGTCACACTTTGCCCCTCCAGTAAAGCTGTTCGTATTATTATGCTTATCCCAACCCTCCCCAACCCCCTCTGTAGGTACTCTGAGGGGAAAAGCGGCAAAGAATGATGCCCCCACTGTTTACATTTGACTTTTCACACAGCTCTTTTGATTCTCTGCCCTTGAGAATTAAATGTAAGCCACCCTGAGCCTGCTTGCAGGGAGGGCGGGGTATAAATTGAATTAAACAAACAAACAAATAAATAATAAATACAAGACGTTATCATGACATCCAGTCCTGCAACTGCACTGAGAGTTTCCTTCGAGTTGTGATAAGAGCCAGGAGGGGCTGGTTTTCGGCCTACCTAAAATGCCTCTTTGCTGTAAGAGGGGAGGAACCAAGATTTTAAAAAGTGAACCCCTCGATACAAACCCCCACCCCACAGTGGTTTTTGGAAGATTTGCCAGTATTTCGGGGGAGGAGATGTTGGTAAGACCTGAAAGCCACAAGGTGAAGGCAGTAGGAAGAGTTCACGGGCCTTTGGCCTCTTCCACCTTCGCTGTTCTTAAGCAACTGCCCACCTTCCCTGGAATATCCAGTATTTAATGATCCTTCAGCCCCTCAAGAGCCACAGCTGAGCTCAGCCCCAGAAGAAATTTCTCCCAGATTTCAGGCCCCAGGAGGCCTCCCTCCCTCCCTCCTTTCCCAGCGGGCTTTCTTATTCTGCCAAACCAAGAATTGCTAAGAAACAGGGGTCATTTCCTGCAGGAGCACACAGGAGCAGAGCTCCGGCAGTAAGGAGTCCAGGGGGCGGGCACATGCAACAAGCCCTGCCCCCTGCTCCCAGCAGCCCTCAGTTGGGCCATGAAGCGCAAGAAGCTGCCAGGTAAGTTGCAGAGCCCACCCCGGCCCGCCTTCAGGTACAAGCTCTCCCTCCTCTGTGAGGGCAAATCTGCGCATGCCCCCTCCAAAGCTAGTAATCCAAAACAGTCCAGTGGCTCCTTGAAGACCAAGTTTTATTCAGGTACAAGCTCTCCCTCCTCTGTGAGAACAGATCTGCATATCCCCCCCCCCAATAACTAGCAATCCAAAACAGTCCAGTGGAGCCTGAGCGGTGGGTATTGCCTTCTGATACACTTCCAGTGATGTCAGGGGGTGTGGCATATGCAAATAAGGTATGCTAATAAGTTATGCTAATGAGCTCCTGCACCTCTTTTTCTACGAAATGACCCCTGCTAAGAAGTGAGGCAGAAATCCTCCTTGCCTGTTCTGTGCTCATTCCTTTGACATAATCATAAAGGATCCTCACTCTCAGCCAGCTCATCTGGGAAGGAAATACTCTCTGGAGATCCTCCTGAGAAACTCTCTGGCCTTTCTTCAGATGCGAGACCTCTGTCTGTCTCCACCGCAGTCTCTCTTACATTCCGTGGTTCTTGGGCACAGAGAAAGCGACAGTGATCATTCTTACATGGGGAAGGGAGAAGGAGGAGATGATGGGAAAAAGATGGAGGAGAGAGAAAAAGGGAGGGGTGCCAGCCAGATAAACCCTGTTGCTGTCCACAACCAAAAGCCTGGCGGAACGTCTCTTCCTTCCAGGCCCCGCAGAATAGCATTAAGTCCTGCAGGGCCATGATGTTACGTGGCAGAGAGTTTCACGAGGTCGGAACCAGGATCGAGAAGGGCAGAGAACTATGGCTTGCCCAGCAGCTGCATGTGGAGGAGTGGGGAATGAAACCTGCATCTCCCAGATTACAGTCCACACACTTAACCACTACACCGAACTGGAGTGTAACACTCTTCGGGGAACATATCAGCGGAGGCGGTCCCGAAGATACATAGGCCTCAAGTTGCTTAGGGCCTTGAAGGTCATTCCCAAAACCTTGAACCTGACTTGGTACTCCACTAGGAGCACAGGTTGAATGTGTGCCGTCCACGCCGTTCCTGCCAGGACTCACACCGCCACATTCTAGATCAGTTGGAGCCTCCGGGTCAGCCTCAAGGGCAGGCCAGCATAGAGTGAACTACAGCAGTCTAGCATGGAAGTGACTGTTGCATGAATAACTGTGGCTAGGTTAGAGATGTGAAGGCCCGGAAAAAAAACGGAAAAATTCAGGAAAAAACCGTTTCCCCCCCATTTTTTTTCCTGAAGCCTTTTTTGTTTTTTCCCCCGAAAAATTGGAAAAATTTAAAAAAGAAAAGAAATTGGTTATGGAACGTTATGGAGGTTTTCTTGTCTGTCCCACATAAACCAGTAAACAGTTCAGGAGATTGTTGCTCCATTTGTTACAATTACAAATAAATATTATTTTAAAAGTAAATTCTGTTTGTAATAATTGTTTGGATACACTATATTTTTAATATGCTAGTTGTGATATTTTCATGCCAAGTAAAATTGTCCATAGTCATATTTTATGTTCCTAAAGCAACTAAATGATTTTCAATCTGGAAAAGAAAAAAGAAGTGCTAATGTAGCATTTTTTTCAATTTTCCCAAATATTTCCATGTGTGGGTTTTTTTTAATGGAAAAAACTGGAGGGTTTTCCGAGCTTCAAAATTTCTGGAAATTTCACATCTCTAGCTAGGTCAGGTGCAACAGGTATGGGGCTAGTTGCTGAGCTTGGTGTAGATCAAAAAACAGTTACAAGAATGGGCACAGTAATAAGACCAATGAAAAAAAGGGAAAAAACTGTGACAATTTAGCGCTTGGTACTATATTCATAAAGCATAGAATACAATAACAGAAAATAAGTAATATATATAGAGAATGTAGACGGTAGTCTCCGGAATGGTGCGCCGTTTCGACAATGATCTTTTTCTGAACAAGGTTGTGTACATAAACTGTCTTTCAACAATTCATTTCTCTTGGTGACGTATTGAAAATATACTGTAGATTCACTTCATCATAAAGCTATGCCTTCAGCAATTATAGCCCATTGAAGAATATAGCTGTAAGCATAGCTTTATGATGAAGTGAATCTACAGTATATTTTCAATACGTCACCAAGATAAATGAATTGTTGAAAGACAATTCTAGGCGGACACGCATTGAACCCCATTTGCCACGTTGATGCCCACTTGCCCATCCTTTGGAGTGCCTCACAATACTCACTGGTTTTCACCACCCTGAACAACTTCGTATAATCCACAAATTTAGCCACTTCACTGCTTACTCCCAACTCCAAATCATTAATGAACAAGTTCAAAAGCAGTGGACCCAGTACTGATCCCTGCGGTACCCCACTGCTTACCACCATCCACTGAGAAAATTGCTCATTTATACTCACCCTCTGTTTTCTATTAATTCTCCCGTTTTTGATCCATAAAAGGACTTGTTGATTATTGCATTGTATTAATTTGTGTTCTGAATGTACTGTTGAATATATTGTTCAGAATAATAATAATAATAATAAAAAAAACTTATTAAAAAGGTTTTAGGCTTTTCTCCATACAGCGATTGTTAATATTTATTTTTAAATCATATTACAAGGTTTTGAGGTTTCCTAAAATTAAATATAGAAACTATCTTATATAATTTCTCTTTCAGCATTTAATTTTAATCACAATTTCTCTTAAGTTTTATATCCTTGGATCTCATTAAATCACTAAGTTTTAAATCCTTAAATCTCCTTAAATCCCATTTTAAGTATCATTTCCCTGCTGTAACAATTCCACCTTAACTAACAATTCCTTCTCCCCACTTTTTTCTCTCTCCTTCTTGAGTTCCAGCATTTTATTATCTGTAGTTGATAAATTCATTCTAAACTCACAGTCAGCTTTTAATCATATTGAAAATATCCAGTTCTTTTTCCAATTTACAACCAGTTAGATCAATGGGGGACAGCACAGTCGAAAATCTTCACTCTAATAGTCCCTTTTAGATGTTAATTCCTGTAGTTTGAGAGCTGCTTCCAAATCAAGGGGGGGGGGCAATTCCCCCTTTCCCCTTAGTTTTCTAATCCTTTTACAGTTTGGTTAAATCCTTCAGCTTTATTTCAGCAGGCAATTCACAAAAGAATAGACAAAACTTACTTGCAGAATATCTTCTTATGTTTTATGTAGAGAGTCATTTAATGTAGAAAAACGCTTAGTTTCAGTTCTTAAAAGTCAGGTAGTCACAGCTTGGTGCCAAAGTGGTGATTGCTTCGGCTGGTGCTTCGGGGCAGACAAAAGACTTCAGATCCAAGCCTCTGCAGGGCCTGCTTCTTTGTCACCCCCCCCTGCTTCAGGGACCCCTCTCCTGAGGCTCCCCTAGGAGTTTGGATACCCAAACTCCCCCAAACCGCACAATTCGAGTGACTGCTGGAGCACAGCTCTGCAGCTCACCTCAATCTCGCTGCGCCGAAACCGGAAACCTCTCTGAAACTGCCACACAAATCTAATATGGTATTGCCAATGGCACCTGTTCACTATTAATTTTACAAAATGAGAATTCTTTAGAAATGGAAACGCTTTTGCAGAAAAAGAAAGTACTAGGAAGTTTTCCCACCCCACATCCTTCTTTAACAGTGTAATCCGAAGGAAACTTTATGTTGAAGGGCTTAGAAAAGTGTGACTCCACTCAGCGTTGCTGGGTCATGTTTCTAGCTCCAGAGGAAACATTGAAGCCATACTCCTTTTTGAAGGAGGGAGAGGGCACTGGACAGCGATCCTGTCTAATACCTCATGGGATTTCACATCCAAGGCCTGAACAGAGACTCCAGCAGAGATACCTCTGAGACTCTTAAAATTCCCCTAGGCCCACATCCAGATATTTAAGCCTAGGGATTGATGCGGCTTCTCTCTTTAATAGATTTTCCCTCTTCCTATAAATGGGAGGCTTCTACATCTCTCCTACACAAAAGACAACTCAGAGGCATTCTCACAATAACCAAAAAGCTGATATTATGGCAGACAACCAATCTGAGATCCACCATTTATCAGGGCTCCCTGAAGAGGTGAGTGGGGCCCCTCCTTGGAGATCTTCTAGAAGAACTTCCAGGCCTTCTTGTTTCCCAGATCTTTTGCAGGCTTTTGAATGGCAGGCATATTTTAAGGGCGCAAGGGGAGAGAGATGTGGGGTTTGAACTGTTATTTTTGGTTTTAGCAGAAAATGTATTACTGTCAACTGACTTGAACTGCAAGGAAATCAGGAGATGTTAAATAAAATAAATGACATATTCTAAATTGGCCAAACCTGAGCATACCTAAATGCGGTGACTGGAACTGTGAAGGGGAAGACAGATCTTTCTACAAGCTGAAAAATTCCCCAGGGTTACAACAAAATGTGAAATATATTAGGAAACAAATGTGCTGTTTTGTGTTTTTTTTAAACCTGATAAAATGAGCACCTGTAACTTTAAGAAATTGATTGCCGCAGTGGCTGTTGCTAGGCACCCACAGCTTTTCATATTGGGTTTCTGTAAGTGAAAGGCAAGGGGAGCAGATAGGGTCCTTTTCAGGGGTGTTTTGCCCTTTGAGGGAGGTCCAATGGGGCCCAGGACTTTCCTAGCATTGCCATTTACAGGTTGACAAGTTCCTGGAGATTTGGGGGTTGAGCCGTGGAGAGGGTAGGGTTTTGGGAGATGAGGAGCCTTAGCCAGATATTATTTATTTCTTTATTTATGTTGTTTATACTTTGCCTTTCTCATTTGGACTCAAGGCAGATTACACAGAGTGAGTCGATACAACCGAAAAGATGGAGCATTCAATAAACAACAACATAAGATTAGGGCTGCAGAACCAGTCTGAAGTCTAAAAACAGGACTCAAGCAAAAGCGTAAGTCTTCACGTGACACATTACATGATTCCAAAACTACACTGCAGGAACCTACTTTCAGTAAGCTGAACACAGTAGCACAGGCCGCAGTCCCTAATCATTTATCCAAGTAATTTTGTGAGTAATTTAGTACAGTGCAACTCTATAGCATGGGTATAAAAACTCTCTTGAATCACTGTTTTGGATAGTTTCTGGAAAACCAAGAGAATGGAAGCCTTCCCGACTTCCTCAGGCAGGCCATTCCTTAAGGCGGAGGCCATTCCTTAAGGTGGGGGCCACAACAGAGAAGTCACAGGTGCGGGAGGTTGTTGATTTTGCCCATTTGCAGGTTGGCACCTGCAGAAGACCTCACTCAGATGAGCGAAGCTGTTGTGGTGGCACAGAGGGGGAGAGGCGGTCTTGCAAATATGACAGTTACCAAGACCATGAAGGGCTTTGTACGTAACAGCCAATACTTTAAATTGGCAGGTAACCACTAAGAAGAAGAAGAGTTTGGTTTCTGTACCCCACTTTTCTCTACCCAAAGTAGTTTCAGACCGGCTTACAATTGCCCTACCTTCCTTTCCTCACAACAGAAACCCTGTGAGGTAGGTGGGGCTGTGTCAGAGATCTCAAGCATAGACTAATCTGTGTCAGAACTGACGCTTTGGGTGCCAGTTTATATATTAAACCTGATTCAAACATCCCCCTTTGTGACCAGGCCAATCACATCCCAACATTCAGCCTGCCAAAAGTCTACCATGCGGCATAAGCCCTCCTACCGCACATGCAGCAAAAGACGGTTATGTTCTCAAGCAGTGTCTGGCGCCCAAGGTCAACTCACAAACTTCCCAGTATTTGGGAGGCTCGCTTAGAAGCTGTTACAGTCCGCGCTACTTTTAGCAAAGCCATTCACACACACGCCCCCCCTTACATTCCACATTCACACACACTCCTCCCCACTCAGATATGAGACTGGATTATGGCAATACAATGAGCTATAGAAAACACAGACAGGAAGTTGACAAGAATATGACAAAGGAAGGCTGAGTTGGACATATTCTCCTGTGTGAGTTCTTTGATGCTGTTGAAGAGTGCCACCGTGACTAAATCTCTTTCCACACTCTGTGCATTCAAAAGGTTTCTCCCCCGTGTGGGTTCTTTGATGCTTTCTAAGAGAACTACTCAGACTGAATCTCTTTCCACATTCTGAGCATTCAAAAGGTTTCTCCCCAGTGTGAGTTCTTTGATGCAACTGAAGACTGCAACTCTCACTGAACTTCTTCCCACACTCTGAGCACTCGAAAGGTTTTTCCCCTGTGTGGGTTCTCTGGTGACGTTGAACCTGGCCACTATAACGGAATTTCTTTCCACACTCTGAGCATTCAAAAGGTTTCTCCCCTGTGTGGGTTCTTTGATGCTGCGTAAGACTGCTACTCTTACTGAATCTCTTTCCACACACTGAGCATTCAAAAGGTTTCTCCCCTGTGTGGGTTCTTTGATGCTGCGTAAGAGTGCTACTCTTACTGAATCTCTTTCCACATTCTAAGCATTCAAAAGGTTTCTCCCCAGTGTGAGTTCTTCGATGCAACTGAAGACTGCCATTGTGACTGAACTTCTTCCCACACTCTGAGCACTCAAAAGGTTTTTCTCCTGTGTGGGTTCTTTGATGCTGTTGAAGAAAGCCACTCTGACTAAATCTCTTTCCACACTCTGAGCATTCAAAAGGTCTCTCCCCTGTGTGGGTTCTTTGATGCCGTGTAAGAGTGCTACTCAGACTGAATCTCTTTCCACATTCTGAGCATTGAAAAGGTTTCTCCCCAGTGTGGGTTCTTTGATGCAACTGAAGGCTGCCACTCTGGCAGAACCTCTTCCCACACTCTGAGCACTCAAAAGGTTTTTGTCCTGTGTGGGTTCTTTGATGCTGTTGAAGAGTGCCACTCTCACTGAATCTCTTTCCACACTCTGAGCATTCAAAAGGTTTCTCCCCTGTGTGGGTTCTTTGATGCCGTGTAAGACAGCTACTCTTACTGAATCTCTTTCCACATTCTGAGCATTGAAAAGGTTTCTCCCCAGTGTGAGTTCTTTGATGCAACTGAAGATGGCCACTCAGACTGAATCTCTTCCCACACTCTGAGCATTTATAAGGCTTGTCCCCTGTGTGCATTCTTTGATGGTCTTTCAGAGTACCACTCCGTCTGCCTTGATTCCTCAAGTTTCCGCTCAGCTCTTCATTCTTGAGTACATCTGGCAATAGGTCATGAAGTTCCTCATCTTCCTCATTCCTCTGATCATTCCCTGTTGGAACAAAGAGAGATCCTGTTAGAACCCACACAAGGAGGTCTGATCTGCCACAGAATTTAAATCTACTCTGAATATTTTAGTGGCTTCTTCCTGCTGGAATAAAGAAAGAGGTCTAATTGGGAGCCACACAAGAAGCCAAACCACCAGTTAGGCCCTGGTCATTAATGGGTGTGCAATTCCTTCCAGGCCCTCCAGTGAAGCTGTTCTTATATTACGTCCTTCTCTCCCCTCCCCACCCAACTCTGTAGGTGCTTTAAGGGGAAAAGCAGCAAAGAATGATCCCCCCACTCTTTGCATTTGAGTTTCTGCACAGCTCTTTTGATTCTCTGCCCTTGAGACTTAAATACAAGAAGTTATCCTGATATCCAGTCCTGCAACTGCACTGAGCGTTTCCTTCCAGTGGTGACAACACCTATGAGGGGCTGGTTTTCAGCCTCCCAAAACTGTCACTTTGTTATGTGTGTGGGAGACCTAAGATTTAAAAAAGAAAACTCCCCAGTTCAAGCTCCCCCGATGGTTTTGGGAAGATGTGCCAGTTTCCAGGGGCGGGGGTCTACTGGTAAGACCTGAAGTCATCCAGGTGAAGGCAGAGGAAAGGGTTCGTGGGCCTTTGGCCTCTTCCACCTTGGCTGTTTCTAAGCAACCACCAACCTTTTCTGGAATATCCAGTATAATGATCCCTCAGCCTCTCAGGAGCCACAGCTGAGCTCAGCCCCAGAAGGAACTTCTGAATCTCCCAGAGTTCAGGCCCCAAAAGGCCTCCCTCCTTCCTTTCCCAGTGGACTTTCTAAATCAAACCAAGAATTGCTAAGAAGTGAGGCAGAAATCCTCCTTGCCTATGCCTCGTTCATTCCTTTGACATAACCTTGAAGAATACTCAGATGCAAGCAGCTCCTCTGGGAAGGAAACACTCTCTGGAGATCCAGTTGAGAAACTCTCCAGAAAACCAATCTGCTAGCGATTAATAGAAAAATGGTACCAGAGCAGCTTTTAAAAAACTCCCGGGGGGGGGGGGGGAGCCGACAGGAGACGGGGAGCCTCCTGTTCAGGCAAGTCAGTCCAAAGGCATGACTGCATAAACACCCAGGGTAGTATTGAAGGGAGCCTAAAAGAAGATGGCAGTGAGGGCAGGAGGGCAACTGAGGGCCACGTGTGGTGACTAAGGGGCCGAGGGAGGTGAGGGTGGCTGGAGAGGGAAACACATTAGAAGTGTCCCTCTGTTTCATGATCACAATTATATAGGATTTGGTTATCCTCAAGTGATAAACTAATTCAGAGACTATACGGCTTTCTGTTGGATGAATATATGCAAAATGAAATGGTTAGTCAAAACATGATAGCATGGGCAAAAGATCTAGGTCACACGATAGAAAGAGAGAAATGGGTGACTACCTGGAAATCGTTGAATTACGTAAGAGCGATTAACTACAAAGAAAATATATACAAAGTCTACCATTGGTCTCCGGACAGGATATCAAAATGTAACCCGTCTACATCTAAAGCATGTTGGAAGTGTACAAAAAACATAGGGACGTTTTTTCATATGTGGTGGCGATGCCAGAATGTCAAGAGATATTGGGAAATGATTCAAAGACTTGTAGTCGATATCATGAAGCTAAATATAATCCTCAGCCCAGAAATAGCATTGTTGAATATGGTACCAGAGAAATGTAATCTTAATGAAAAATATGTATTAACATATATACTGACTACTGCAAGAATATTATTGGCTAAATATTGGAAACTGGATAGAGTCCCAACAAGACAGGAGACATTAGAAAAGCTGATGGAAGTAGCAGAGATGGACAAGTTAACTTTAAATCTTCAAGGAAAAAAAAAATATGTTAAACGGATGAAATTTAAAAAAAAAAGGGGGGGGGGGGGGAGGAAAAAAAAGAAGAAGTGTCCCTCTGAGCCAAGATGGGGGAGCTGGAGTGCTTGGTGCTCACTGACACTTTAGATGTTGGAGGTATCTCAGAAAACATGGTGGAATGGAGAAAAGCTGTGGGATACAGTCATTCCTGGCTACAAGTTGTATAGGCGTGACAGAGAGGGACAGGTTGAGGGAGGTGTTGCGTTGTACATCAAAGAGGGCATCGAGCGAAATAAATCAGAAATAACACCCCAACAGACGCAATACGGGTGGAAATACAGTGTCCTAAGGGTTACTTGAGGAGCTGTGGTGGCTCAAGTGGTTAAGATGCTGAGCTGCAGGCTGTGGAAGGTCAGTAGTTCAGCAGTTCGAGACCCGAGTGTGCCGCATGACGGAGTGAGCTCCCGTCTCTAGTTCCAGCTCCTGCCAACCTAGCAGTTCGAAAGCAAGAAATTGCAAGTCGATAAATAGGTACCCCTTCAGTGGGAAGGTAACAGCATTCCGTGCGCCTTGGTGTTTAGTCATGCCGGCCACATGACCACGGAAACGTCTTCGGACAGCGCTGGCTCTTCGGCTTTGAAACGGAGATGAGCACCGCAACCCTAGAGTCGGATTCGACTGGCTTTCGAGCAAGGGAACCTTTACCTTTAAGGGTTACTTAAACGTGGGGGTGTCCTATTGCCCACCTGATCAAACCCCTTGAGGCTGATCTTGAGATGGAGAAGGAAATAAGGGAGGTGACCAAAACAGATAACATTGTTATACTGGGAGACCTCAACCACCCTCAGTTTGACTGAGTCATGCTGTAGAAAGGAGATTCCTAGACTTCATAAACGACTGTGCACTGGAACAGTTGGTCACAGAGCTAACCAGAGGGGTAATGATCTTGGAATGGTTTCTGAGCGGGTCTCAGGACCTGGCCTCTGATGTAGAGCTTGTTTCAGAAATTGGGAAGAGAATGCATTCATGTCAATTGAAAGTTAGCTCTACAAAGTCTTAAACTGTAACATTTCATTGCCAATCCAATCCAAAGCCTTATATTGGCATATAAATAAAGATACAGTAATACATTTCATTTCAAAAGAGGGAACCTTACAAAAATGGAAGCTGGAAGGAAAACACAGATCCCCATGGGAAGCGTTGAAGCTGTTTAAAGCCGCACTCATTGAAACCCGGACGGAATGCATGCCACAGTTCAGGAAAGGCCCTGCCAAGTCTATAAGAATACTAAATACAACATTCCAATCTCTCTGCATGGTTTTTTTCATTAACTGTATTTCAGACATATACCTTTAAGCAGCACTTGAGTGTTATCTGACCTTGAGTAATTTATGCTCTCCGTGTTGTATTTTGGTTTTTGTTATTATACTAAGTCTATAAGAATGCCTGCATGGTTAACAACATAAGACAAAGAACCTGTAAAATGTAGAGGAAGAGGAGGAAGAAGGAGGAGGAGGAGACTGGATTTATACCCTGCCCTTCAGTCGGCGTCTCGGAGCGGCTTACAAACTCCTTTCCCTCCCCACAACAGACACCCTGTGAGGGAGGTGGAACTGAGAGAGCTCTTTCAGGAACTGCTCTTGAGAGAACAGCTCTGAAATAAGGTGTAACTGACCCAAGGTCACACCAGCAGCTGCATGTGGAGGAGTGGGGAATCAAACCCGGTCCACGCACTTAACCACTACACCAAACTGGCACTTAACCACTACATCAAAATGTAAAGATGTCTCAGCCTCTCTGCCTTGTTGTTGGCCCTCCAGAGGAACTGGTTGGCCACTGGGTGAGACAGGAGGCTGGACTAGATGAACCCTCACTGGTCTGATCCAGCAGGACTCTTCTTACATTCATCTGTTCCTATGTTCTTAAGGACATGCAGTAAAGACTAACAACTGAGAAATTAGGTTGTGGCCCCTTCCAGAGTCTTTCTGAGGCCCCCTCATCCCCGCCTTGGCCTCAGGCCAGTTTGGTGTAGTGGTTAAGTGCGCGGACTCTAATCTGGGAGAACCGGGTTTGATTTCCCCACTCCTCCACTTGCACCTGCTGTGACCTTGGGCAAGCCGTAGTTCCGATAAAGAGCTGTTCTTGAAGAAGAGCAGTTTGTGTCAGAGCTCTCTCATCCCCACCTACCTCGCAGGGTGTCTTTTGTAGGGAGGGGAAGGGAAAGGAGCTTGTAAGCCGCTTTGAGACTCCCAGTGAGGGCAGGGTATACATCCAATCTCCTCTTCTCTTCTTCAGGTCAGGACACCCTCTCTGGCTTGGGTGATGATGGCCAAAATACTGGCCTCAGTTGCCCCAGTCTACCCCGACACACTAAATATCCCTTTCACTGACACCCCAGTTCTAGAGACCCCAAATGGGCAGGCATCAAAACCACGTGTTGCTGTTCAGTATTTTGACCCATACATCATCCCAGGGGCAGCGGTTGGCACCTTTGCCACCCATGGAAGGTCCTTACCCAGGGAGGCCACGGTCCCGTAGTTCTCCAGCATGACTTCCCTGTGGAGAGCTCTCTGGCCTGGATCCAGCAGGGCCCACTCCGCCTCAGTGAAATCCACGGCCACCTCCTCAAAGGAAACCGGACACTGGAAGGAAAAAGCAGATTCCCTCGTCAGAGATTACACCAGGCAGAGAACACACACGGGAAGGGGGCAGTCTGGGAGGGTACGGGAAGGCCTGGCAGGGGTAAAGGGAGTGGCCTTTAGAACCTCTGTCGCTCAGGCACCTTCACAGCAATTGTGGGAGCAAAAGCCCCCTTGAGAAAAAGGGGGAGCCAGGCTGTCCCCCCCCATCATCTCCCCTACCTGGAGTGGAGGTCCCGCAGCCCTTTCCACATCTCTACAAAATTGATCGCTCAACACCATTTCTTCACCGCCTGAGGGAGAGAGAGACAAAGGAGGAAGGAAGGGTGTCCGCCTAGAGACTCCCCAGTTCATCTGCTTGTTCCAGTCTTCCACCCCCTTCACACACACACACACCTTTCTCAGAGTCGTGAACCTTTGCCCTACATGCAGTCAGAAAAAT